GTTCGTGAAAATGGGTTTCTGAAAATAATAACATTACTGTGTGATACTGGGCGTGTTTTATTTTTTTTTATAACAGGACCTTAGGCAGCGTTTCAAAAGTGATGCGTAAGCCCACCCTTAGCCAGCGCTTCTAGTAGAAAGCGCTGCTTAATCCCCCCTTTAGGAAGCGCTTTTACAAAGCGTTGCATAAGCCCACCCTTTAGGTAGCGCTTTTAAAAAGCGCTTTGTAAGCCCATCCTTTAGGCAGCGCTTCTCCAAAGGGCTACAGTACCTAACCCCTTTAGCAGCGCTTTATCAAACCACATTCACCCCCTTTAGGCAGCGCTTTCACAAAGCACTGTTTAAGCCCACCCTTTAGGCAGCGCTTTTAAAAAGTGCTTTGTAAGATCACCCTTTAGGCATATCTCTCATAATGGCTAATAACTCTGAAACTTTTATCCAACCATCCATTGCCCACCTTTAAGTTGTACAACTTTAATACCGCAGACGATCTTGTGAATTTAGTGCAATCTTTATACAACGGTTTCTCTACATCGCTTACCAATCTCTCAAACATTTTGGGACAATCCTGAAGATCTTCTTCAAGTGCTTCTGTAATCTCTTTGAATCGATAACAATTGTATGTATCTGTGTCATTGTCGTCTGAAGCATATTTCGTACTATCCCCCGGTTCAACATTCTCGTTACTTTTCTCACCATGAAATATCTAACATGTATAACTTCGATCAATTCCACGCCTCAATAAATGCGATTGCAACCTAACTGCGTTAACCCGACCCACAAAACAACAACTTAAGCAAGTACATTTCATTTGATTGGCGTCTTTGACGTGTTCAACAACAAACTTAACAAATTCCAATAATCCATTCTCGTTCTCTTTAGAAAATAGATTGACAGACGTCCATTTTTATCCATGGTCTTACTATTAAGTAAGCTAAACAAAAATAATACTTAAAAAAAAGGACAGAGACTAAAAAACTTAATACCAATTAGGCATATTCATCGGAAAAAATACTATTATTATTCAAGAAACTATAGCAAATTAAAAGAACAACTAAATATCTGTAGAGAAGTCAACAACTTCTGAAACCACAGTGTAATATTCTTGGAAACACTCAGAAACTCCACTCTTCACAAGTAACCTATATAAATGATCAATTAATTTCATTATAATAAAAAAATGGGTTAATACCTATTTTCACCCCTGACATATGGGGTGTATTTGAAAAACCCCTCTGCCAAAAAAAAAGTTCCAATTGTTACTTGACAAATTTTAAAAGTTTCAAAAAAATTTTATCCTTCAGCAAGAATCGAACCATGGACATACTATTTGCAGTGAACACTTCTTACCACTAGACCAATGCATTTTCTTTGATACATATATGCATCAATAAATATTCATATCATTAACATATTAATTACAATTATCAATAAATTTTCTTAACTAGTTGGTTTAAATAATTTTTAAAAAAATGTTTTATATATTTTATCTTTTTACTGTAACTTTTTTAAAATTTTAAATTTTCAAAAATCACTTAAATTTTCAAAAATCAGTTAAATTTAAAAAAATCACTTAAATTTTCAAAAATCAGTTAAATTTAAAAAATTACTTAAATTTTCAAAAATCACTTAAATTTAAAAAAATCACTTAAATTTTCAAAAATCACTTAAATTTAAATCACTTAAATTTAAAATCAATTAAATTTTCAAAAATCACTTAAATTTTCAAAAATCACTTAAATTTAAAAAAATCACTTAAATTTAAAAAACTAAGTTAAATTTAAAAAAATCACTTAAATTTTCAAAAATCACTTAAATTTAAAAAAATCACTTAAATTTTCAAAAATCACTTAAATTTAAATCACTTAAATTTAAAATCACTTAAATTTTCAAAAATCACTTAAATTTAAAATCACTTAAATTTTCAAAAATCACTTAAGTGATTTTTGAAAATCACTTAGTTTTGAAAATCACTTAGTTTTGAAAATTTAAGTGATTTTTGAAAATTTAAGTGATTTAAATTTAAGTGATTTTTGAAAATTTAAGTGATTTTTGAAAATTTAACTTATTTTTTTAAATTTAAGTGATTTTTTTAAATTTAAGTGATTTTTGAAAATTTAAGTGATTTTTAAAAATTTAAGTGATTTAAATTTAAGTGATTTTTGAAAATTTAAGTGATTTTTTTAAATTTAAGTGATTTTTGAAAATTTAACTGATTTTTTTAAATTTAACTGATTTTTGAAAATTTAAGTGATTTTTTTAAATTTAAGTGATTTTTGAAAATTTAAAATTTTAAAAAAGTTACAGTAAAAAGATAAAATATGTAAAACATTTTTTTAAAAATTATTTAAGCCAACTAGTTAAGAAAATTTATTGATAATTGTAATTAATATGTTAATGATATGAATATTTATTGATGCATATATGTAACAACGAAAATGCATTGGTCTAGTGGTAAGAAGCGTTCACTGCAAACAGTATGTCCATGGTTTGATTCCTTTTGAAGGACACAATTTTTTAAACTTTGAATTAACACTCAATTAATAAAATATTAATATAAATGCCATATGGAATTAAAAATTAAAAATTAATTAAAAATGAGTAATGTGGCATCCTCAAGGTAAAAACTGAAACTTTTAAAATTTGTCAAGGTAACAATTGGAACTTTTTTTTTGGCAGGGGGTTTTTCAAATACACCCCCCCATATGTCAGGGGTGAAAATATGTATTAACCCTAAAAAAATCTATAGAATAAAAATTACATTAGAATATTTGTACAATATTAAACATATATGTATACACCATTAAATATCACTAATATTATTTTTAACATATATTTTACTAACAAAACAATATTAAACTAATAAAACAACATTAAATAATCACTAATATTTATACACCATGCATCAAGAATATTTATATTATAGATGGCCGTAAAAAATCATCACTAAATTTATATCTATATTATCACTAATATTTATACACCATCAAGAATATATATTATCGTTTCTATTCTATATTATCACTAATATTTATATTATTGTTTCAACTTTACATTATCATCAAATAATCACTTATATTATCAACTTTACACCATCAACTATATGAGTTCTTTTAATTTCAATTTCAACTCTATGTGAAGTACTTTCAATTTCAACACTATAAGTGTTATTACAACAACCTCTCAAACCAAAATGTATAGCTCAATTAATTGTATAGGAACATATTTTCTCTCAATTAATACATGCAATATTTATTGTGACATTTACACAAACACCTTACATGCAAAACTCATTGTGACATTTTCACAAACACCTTACATGCAAAAACCACATTCCACATAAAACACAACATAATGCAACATTATCAACACTAAATCAACACTATGAACACTATCAACTAAATCAAATGCAACATTATATATCAATATTATCAAATATATAAAAAATTATACCTAGAGGAGAAGAGAACCTTGGTTCTGAATAGAAGAAAGGATGAAACAGTCTTGAACGGAAGAAGGATGAGAACCTTGAAGAAAGGATGAAACAATTTTCGTTTAGAATCAAACGAAAAAAATGGAACTTCGTGAAAATGGGTTCAGCGGGTTCCTACTGTGTTGGGCGTAGGGTTCGTGAAAATGGGTTTCTGAAAATAATTACGTTACTGTGTGATACTGGGCGCGTTTTATTTTTTTTTATAACAGGACTTTAGGCAGCGCTTTCAAAGCGCTGCGTAAGCCCACCCTTAGCCAGCGCTTCTAGTAGAGAGCGCTGCTTAATCCATCATTTAGGCAGCGCTTTTACAAAGCGTTGCGTAAGCCCATCCTTAGGCAGCGCTTCTCCAAAGGGCTACAATACCTACCCCCTTTAACAACGCTTTATCAAACCACATTCACCCCCTGTAGGAAGCGCTTTCACAAAGCGCTGCTTAAGCCCACCCTTTAGGCAACACTTTCAAAAAATGCTTTGTAAGCCCACCCTTTTGGCAGCGCTTCAGTACCTACCCCATTTAGCAGCGCTTTATCAAACCACATTCACCCCCCTTAGGTAGCGCTTTTTTAGAAAGCGCTATCTAAGGTATACGACCAAATTCCCGTGTTTTTAAAATGGACTTTTAGCAGCGCTTTTGATAAGAAGCGATGCCTTAGGTGTGTTGTCTAATCTTATTTTTGGCGTAGTGTTACCACTATATTTTGCTACAATGCGATAGAGGGACTCGACTTAAAGTTTAGTATAAGGGACTAAACTTAATGTCTCGCCTAGAGATAAAGTATTTTCTTCTTGGATTAAATCACTTCACCTTGTTCGAGTCTTCGTGTTTGAGGGACTGTGTAATGGTATAATTCTAGTGGGCCTTAAGAAGGGGCGGGGGGTCCAACAAAGGGTTAGCACCCAAGGAAAGGCTAACCCGTCAATAGAGGATAACGCTGAAAGAAGGGCTAGCATCTACGAAAGGGGAAATCCCACATAAGGGGGACCGTCCAAGTTTCTCTCTCAAATCAGTAAGAAAAAATGTGTCACATGTTTTAGTCTAAATAGGTAGTTAAAGGGAGGTAGCAAAACTGCCCTCTTTATTAGTGAGGAATAAACCGCTCCATAGTTAAAGAATTAATGGGAAATATGAAGGAAGTGACCTTGACTTCTTCTCCTACTCAGAACCCGAGAGCCTTATAAATACCTCAACCTTAATACTGAGAGAGATTAAATCATGAATGCATAAAGTACTCCCTAGACACAGCTCCTCACCTTCTCGTGTGAGTATCTCTAACACCATAAAACCATAAAGTCTCTAACATTTCCTTACTCATTAGAGATTGTTACATATTTATACTTTTTAGCATGTATAATTTTATTACTCAAATAAAATTATTCTAATTAACATTAGATATTTTAAAACTTTGCATCAATTATACACCATGTCATATTTAATAAAAAGGTGAATTTATTTCATTAGATTCATAAATAACACATTACATTTCATAATAACATCATGAATATTGATTTAAACATGGTCACCACCATCTCCTCCACCATGACCACCTCCAAAACCACCTCCTGCACCCCCACCATGACCACCTCCAAGGCCTCCGCCTGCACCTCCACCTGATCCACCTCCAAATCCTCCTCCAACACCTCCACCTGCTCCAGAACCACCTCCAATGCCTCCTCCAGAACCTCCTCCTCCACCTATACCACCGCCACCACCACTACCACCTCCGAAGCCTCCTCCTCCGCCTGCACCACCACCTAATCCACCACCATGTCCACCACTGATTCCTCCTCCTGCACCACCACCACTACCACCACCGATTCCTCCTCCAGCACCACCACCGATTCCTCCTCCAGCACCACCACCTAATCCACCACCATGTCCACCGCCGATTCCACCTCCTACACCACCACCACTACCACCTCCGAAGTCTCCACCACCACCATGTCCACCACCAATTCCTCCTCCTGCACCACCACCACCACCACCTCCGAAGCCTCCACCTAATCCACCACTGATTCCTCCTCCTGCACCACCACCACTACCACCTCCAACGCCTCCACCTGCACCACCACCTCCACCCAATCCACCTCCGAAACCTCCACCTGCACCACCACCTCCACCTAAACCACCACCATGTCCACCACCAATTCCTCCTCCCGCACCACCACCACTACCACCTCCGAAGCCTCCACTTGCACCACCACCTCCACCTAATCCACCACCATGACCCCCTCCGATTCCTCCTCCAGCACCACCACCACCACCACCTCCGAATCCTCCACCTGCACCATCACCATGTCCACCACCAATTCCTCCTCCTGCCCCACCACCACTACCACCTCCGAAGCCTCCACCTGCACCACCACCATGTCCACCACCGATTCCTCCTCCTGCACCACCACCACTACCACCTCCAACGCCTCCACCTGCACCACCACCATGTCCACCACCGATTCCTCCTCCCGCACCACCACCACTACCACCTCCGAAACCTCCACCTGCACCACCACCTCCACCTAAACCACCACCATCTCCACCACCAATTCCTCCTCCCGCACCACCACCACTACCACCCCCGAAACCACCACCTGCACCACCACCTCCACCTAATCCACCACCATGACCCCCTCCAATTCCTCCTCCTCCACCACTACCACCTCCAGCACCGCCTCCAACCCCTCCACCGTGTCCAAATCCTCCTCCAACACCTCCACCACTACCACCCCCAAAACCTCCGCCTCCACCACCACCTAGGCCACCTCCACCAAAGGTATCAACAAATTCTTCTTTTTTTAGTGTTCGGCATTCAAATGTTCCTATCACCAATACAAATATAAAAGCAAGAACTGCAGCATACTTGTGTAAATTTCCCATCTTAATAAGACAGATAATTGTAGTAGAGCCGTTAAAACTTGCTTTGCTCTTGTAATGAGAATGCTAGGCAACTGGAGTTCTATTTATAGTAGTACATGCCATTAATACACAAAGACTTAGGACATCTCTCATGTATTGTAGTTCCTCTGACTAACATGGCCTAAATTTCAAACTTGTTGGAAAAAAAATCTATTGGCCTGTGTATTCATAATTGCCATGTCCCCAACCATCAACAACCTTAGAGGAATAGTGAACACCGTTAAATAAGTGTAAAGAAATAGTGAAATAAAAAGCAAAGAGATCTGATAAACTAAAAAACCGAAATAAATACAGTAGAGGCTAAAATGTAATGTGTAAAAAAAGAATAGACTTGTGAACATGTCAAAGTTTAGCCAAGGGCAAGTACTAAATAAGTTTTATTTTATTTAGAAGACATTTTTTAACTTATATGAAAGTAAACTTTTTATTTTCACATTGATATATAGTTTCCAAAACAAAATAAAACAAGGCCATCATATATATTGACTAAGTCAAAGATATATATAGAAGCATTAGTTAGCTTCGTTTTATTTTCAGTTTCTAAGTAAACTATACCTATCAAAAAAGATGTTGCATTAATGAATCGATGAAAAAACTTGCGTTTTCATTTAGTTATTGTCATGTATAACTGGCAAGCATGTACCCACCATGTGTATAATTGTTAGGCCAAAGAACCAAAAGTAAAGAATCAATTTGAACTTATTTATCCTCAAACAAGGTTAAACAACTCAAAGAACCAAAAGTAATCAATTAAAATATCATGAATTAACAAGTTTTGAAAACGGAAAACAAATGCAATGGTTCTAATGAAAAATGATACACACGAAAAAACATACTTACCACTAAACTACGACGATAACATAAACTAAATACAAAGAACATGCCAAACATTATAAAACAACACTAGTTCATAAATGAATCACACCTAATAAAAACAATTATCGGTAGATGAAAAACACACAAAATAAGGTATTTTCATCCATCCACAATCTTGCAAACAAAAGACTAAATTATTCATTCATCCAAAAACTTAAATTGAAAATATAAAAGTAAGAATATCAAGGACTTTTCAAGATTGTAATGTGGCTTGGTTAATAAACAAGGGATAAGTCCTAAAGCTAATCGAAACAAAAACTTGCCTAAACCTAAGGGAGTAATTACTTCCACAAAGTTTCAAACAATAGAATTTCAATCAAACTTCTTTTTTATCACAAGTTTCACACCAACACACATCACTTATAAACACAACATTATTCCACACTTTTTTTCTTTCTTTTTTCAATGCTTTTTCAATTTTTTTCTTTCTTTTTCTATCTTTTCTATTTCACTTTTTTTTCTTTTCTTTTTTCTTTTCAACCTCATAGCAATCAACCAAAATACACAATCATTTTTCTCGCCAACTTGAATTCAACCATACATTAAAGTGAATACTCCCTACTTTCTAAGGCAAGGTAAAAATTCAAACCAAAACAATGGTTGAGGGTTCAAAAAAACAACGAATCAACATCCATGCAAAAAGGGAAACTAAACACTCATGGACAAGTATTTAACAAAAACAACATGGATATCGATAAAAAGATCAAAGGGGTTACTAATGATCACATACTCACAAAGTGAATTGACTATTTGGTCAAGGGGTAGTTGTGCTCAAAATGGAACAAAAAATTCCTTGATCATGTTAAAGCTTTCATATAATCAACACAAACAAAAGATTAAACATAATAAATTCCAGTTAAAACAAGAGTTGTGGTCTCCAGCATATGTGAACAATGGAAAACTATCTCACAAAAAAGGTAGGAACTAAAGTAGTTCACAAATGAACAAGTATACAAAAGAATGAATGACATAAAAATTGTAAAAAGTCTAAGTATCATGAATATGCTAAAGTATAGCAAGCGATAAGCACATACCTCGAACATGTACAAAACTTTAACAGAATCAATACCATGCATTCGCAAGTTGACACACTCAATATCGGAAAGTCACCAAATGCGACTTCAAGCTATCTAATCAAAATTTGAGTCAAAACAATAAAAGAAAGAATTAAAACTATTACTATTTATTACTATACTATGAAACCTTAGGTGAAGTGGGAAAAATGAGAGCCAAGTGAAAAATTAAAAAGAATTCACTGACTCTGCACAGTAGAGCGCACTAAGCGGCATAGAGCGCACTAAGCGCGCTACACCAGTTGTAGAAAAATAGGACAACAACTGGTGCAACTACGATGCAAGCTACACTTCACCTACACAACCTCAATGTACAAAATATTTACAACATACAAACTTCCTCAAGCTACACACAACAAGCTTGCAAAAAAACACAAATTTACATAACAAAACAAATACAAATAATGATATGAAAGCCAGGTGAAAATGAATTAACAAGTTAAAAAGTGAAGATTTGAAATTCAGAATATTTCCATGTTTCAACTTGTTAAAACACAAATCACCACACACATAAACAAATACAAGCAAACATGATTATTTTACGTCGTAAGCTCAATGCCTTTATTGTGAGAGCTAATAACCTTCTCTCGTCATGCCAAGGTATTGTCACACCATGCAAACCTAAAGAAAGTGTCCTGACATACACACAACAAATGTTACGACAAGACAGTTCACAATATCACATGAAAACAAAGAAAAACACATATATGCACAAGTATCATATACAAGTTAATGTATAATTTCTATACAACATATACATTAATTACAAAACTCAAAAACAAAATAATTATCGCAATGTGAAAACAATAGAACTAATCCCCGACAACGGCGCCATTTTGTTGCAGCGGTATAGCGGCAAGAAAAAAGTAAAGTATTATTTTACCAGGTGATATAGGTTATATTGTATCGTGTCCACAGAGATTTATTATTGAATTATCATTCGACAAATCTATCGTTTATGAGTTTGGGGGTTGAATGGGTTGTATGAAAAATGTATCAACAGAAAATAAATGTATAAAAAGGAAAAAGGAATAACTTATCAAGCATGCATATATATTACTTCTCACATACTTAAACCTATCGACCAGTTACACTAAACCTAACAATACTCATCAATGTCACTATGTGTCACTCATAACCTAAGTTATTTCTAACCCAAATTGAGAGACCGACTGTATCACTAAAGAAATGATCTCTCTACCTCCTCAATAACATAGAAGATAACTATGTAATCATATCGACGATCTCTCAGCACAACACAACCACACAGAGGCATTAAGATTTGATACCCAAGTAGATGTCAGCTCTAAATCTATCTCTAGAGTTTAAAAACTAACAGATAATCATCCTAGATAAGAATCTAAGCAGTATATGTCTATAGCAACTCAAATCCCTAAGTACAGAGCGAAAATCCAAGACAACAATCCATAAAGATTTGTAAAGCAAATTAAATATAACTCCAAGGGAGTCAAATATACATCAATTCAAAGAAAATGCATATACAAACCCAACCAATAGAGAACACACAAATAAAAAGAGAAATGAACCACAAATCTACTGATTTGTCAGCACCAATCAAAGAGAAATCCACCTCGGATCATCCGTATGCAAGCTCCATAGTTGTTATCTAAGCTAATCCTAACAAAATTAAAGATTGATGAAGTTAGGAGAAAAAACTTCCCCAAAACCCTAACCTAAAAATGAACAAAATTTGTTTTTATAAAACTCTTCTCAGCAGACCGCGCTAAGAGGGCCTGGCGCACTAAGCGCGACTTGCTTATTTTACACATCAAACCGACCTAAACCATGCTAAGCGTGCTATCCGCGCTAAGCGTGCTTCAAAATATTGGTTTTGACAAATTGTCAAACGCAAGCAGTGTAACGCCCCGTTTTGTTTAATATTATATTATATTAATATTTTCGAATTACCGTTTGAAGTTTATTTTTGCGACGAGAATATTTAAATTAACCGTTATATCTGTTAATATATTCGGCGACATTTTATTCGGACCGATAATTATTTTATTCGGTCCGGTAATTATTTTAGAGGGACCGATAATTATTTTGTTCGGTCTGGTTTTTATTCCGTTCGGTTCGGTAAAATATTATTCGGACCGAAATTTAATTATTTGGAGTCATTTTAATTATTTGGGTTAATAATATTATTTGATATTATTTAGTGTTAATTAGTAGTATATTTTAAGAAGGGCTTTTTGGTATTTTGTCTAGCTTGTGTCTTGCTACTAAACAAACCAAACCCACCATTTCCTTTGTTTTATGTCATAACACTAAAACACACTTTGAGAGAGTTAGAGAGAGCTAGAGGTCTTGGAAGAGAAGAAGAGGAGCAAGAACAAAGCTTGGGTTTTGGGTTGGTTGGAACATCAAGAATCATTTCAAACATCTAAGGTAAGGGGTTTGATTTTCCAATGCTTATAGTTAGGGTTGATTTGGTATATTTTGATTTGGGATAAAATTGATGTTAGGGTTCTTGAGATTTGTTGAGATAAATTAGGAGAGTTAATTTAGGTGTTAGTGTTGTGGAATTATTGTTATGTTAATAGAAATTAAGTCTAGAAAAACTAAGTAGTAGCAGTATATTATTAGAAGTTAAGCTTCTAAAGCTAAGCTAGCAGTATGTTACGTTTCATAAAGTATTAGTTGTATGCATAATAGAAGTTAAGCTTCTAAAGCTAAGCTAGCAGTATGTTACGTTTCATAAAGTATTAGCAGTATGTATTAATAAAATGAAGTTTAGAAACAAGTATTAGCAGTATGCATTAATAAAATGAAGTTTAGAAACAAGAACTAGCCGTATTAATAAAATGAAGTTTAGAAACAAGAACTAGCAGTATTAATAAAATGAAGTTTAGAAACTAAGCTAGCAGTATATTAATTGAATTAAATTAAATTTAGAAAATGAATTAATTTATGTTTTGTTTTTATTTTCTTAATTTAATATATTAAATATTTATATTAATTAAATACAAATATGACATAAGTTAGCCGATT